GGGACTGTGCTTGTGTAATGAGATGGATTGATATAACCCTGTATTTACAGGGTTGCTTTTGCTAATAAATTGAATGACCCTACATGGATCATTATTCTTATGTCTTTTGTAGTGTTTTCACCATGTCTTACGTATTTTTAATCGTCTATTATCCTGTATGTTTTTCTTTAGGGTTATTATTAATACTCTTGATAATCATCACATACTCTTCTTTCGTTTTATTGACTTTTAATTAAGAATAGTGCACGATAATTATCATGAAATGTTAATAACGATTCTTTTTTTCTTTCCGTTTTGACAAGGCATTTGTTGAAAATATTTCACTTAGTGTATTTGTATTCAACACATTACTTTAATTTGTATCACAGTCACATTGTACTTTTTTATCCACACCTTCTATTGTATTAAGATCTTCTGACTTTTAAACCAGTAATAATATATGTAAGACAAGGTGAGGTTGATGCACAAGAAAAAATTAAGAAAAGGTACGAAGTTGCTTATGCGACTTTTAAACAAAGAATTAATTGTTTATTTTTATTTTATTTTAGAAGAAATAGTCCTTTAAGATAAAAATTTCTTGATAACATTTTAAAATACTCTCCCACAATTTTTTTCTTAGATCATCTCCAAAGGAGATGCCAAATTTTAAATACAAAATTTAAATTTGAAGGCTTATGTGGCACATTGATCTTTTTATAAATTTTGTTCTCTAACCGATATGTTAAATTTAAACTATTATTTACTTTTTATAGTTGTAATTAGTATTTTAAAACAAAAGATAACTATTAAAATTATAAAAAGTATTTATTAATTACTAAAAATAGATTTGAAGTTTGACAACAACTTCCTCTGCTGCTTTTCATATCATGCCACATAGAAATTGACATTTCGGTTGCAAAACACTAGTGATATCTTTTATTATTGTTATTGCTGATGTGGACTTGCTCTTAAAACACTATCATATTTTTCTTTCACCTTTCTGCATACTATGTGTAGTATGGCCAACGATGGATTTATAGGACTTCGTCCCAGGGTATTGCTATAGTATGAATTTATAAGAACTTACCTCAAATAATGATTCTATAAGACTTCGTCCCTGGGTATTGCTATAGTATGAATTTATAAGACTTCATCCCTGGTATTCATCATTTCCTCAATGATTCTATTTTAACACTCAATTTATTAGGCTTAGCCAAGTTAGCTAAAGCAACATAATCTTTCTGTACCCAAATGTGCAAATCCTGATCTATATAATTAAGATTAATTTGGTACAAACAGCCTAAAACTTTTGTAAAAAACAATTATATTGTTACAAGAATTATGGTCTTTTATGTGAGATATATATATATATATATATATATATATATGTATGTATGTATATCGCTTCATTTACAAATAAAAATGTGAAGCAAAAGTTAAAAGTGCTTGAAAAAGAAACCCTAATGTGCATAGAAAAATGTATGGCGGGGAACTTAGTCAACAAAAATAGGAATTTGGTTTATGGTGACTTTTAAGTTGGAAATTTCAACTTTATATTTCGACTCTGGAACTAACTCACTTTACTGATACTGGTCCTCTTTAATCTACAGTGGATCCCTATATAATAAGCCTTCCTTTGGTTATTATTCTTTGCATCAGCGTCTAAGATCTCTCTTATCAAACACAAGCACACACACAGAAACACACGGATCAAGCACACACTCACATACACACATTCAAATGGAGCATTCAACGCGTCTTGTTTCAGTCGCTTTCGTTCTTGTCTTGCTTTTGGCCGCTACCGGTAATTATACCTCTTTTTAATAATTAATTTTTTATGATGTTTCGAATAAAGCATCTTATTCAACAAAAAACTTTGATCTTTAGAGATGGGGCCAATGAGTGTTGAGGTTAGGACTGAGTCAAGCAAGGCAGTTGAGGGAAAGATTTGCGAGGTTCCTAGCACGTTGTTCAAGGGGTTGTGCTTTTCCTCTAACAATTGTAAACACACTTGCAAAAAGGAGCAATTCACCAGAGGGAAATGTAGTGGCTTGACCTGTACATGCATGTGCACCAAAAAGTGCTAATTAATTTGTTAAAAAGAAATGTAATCTGTGTAGAGACCATGTTTGTGTAATGCGATGGATTGATATGGCCTTGTATTCACATGGTTGCTTTTGCTAATAAATTGAATGACCCTACATTGATCATTATTCATATGTCTAGTGTAGTGTTTTCACCACGCCCTATGTACTTTTAATCGCCTATCATGTATGTTTTTCTTCAGGGTTATTATTAACATTCCAAATAGTCACCACAGACTCTACTTTCATTTATTGACTTTCAATTAAGAAAGAGTGATAGATAATTATCGCCAAATGCTAATAACAATATATTTTTTTCCGTTTTGAAAAGGCATTTTTGTTGAAAAATTTCACGTAGTGTACTTGGATTCAACACATTTCTTTAATTTGTGTCACAAAGACTATTTAAGTAGCATTGTCGATTTTAGATGTATTTTTTTATCGACACCTTCGGTTGTATTAAGTTCTTTGACTTTTAAACTAGTAGTAATATATCTAAGACAAGGTGAGGTTGATGCACAAGAAAAAAAAATTAGAAAAAGGTTCGAAATTGCTTAAGCAATTTTTAAGCAAAGACTTCATCGTTTTTTTTTAATTTTTTTAGAAGAAATAGTCCTTAAAGATTAATATTTTCTTCATAACATTTTAAAAGACTTTTTCCACATTTTTTTCTTTCTTACAACACTTTCATATTTTTCTCTCGCTTTTCTGCATGGTATGTGTAATATTGCCAAGAACGGAGCCACCTTGGCCCAAGGAGCTGATGCCCAAACTTCGTTTTTTGTGAATTTTTTTACATATATTGCATATTATAATTTCATGTCATAGAGTATTTTCGGCTATGAAATTTCTAAATGATCAAATGATAAATCGTAAGAAAATTAATGGATGAATGATAACATGATTATTTTGATAGGAATAGATATTTGATGATATTGGTAATGAAATTGTTATGCAACGCTTTCAAAACTTAAAAATGCGTTGTGAGATATTGTACTATGTTGTATGAAATATTTTATGATTTATTATATGTGCTTTGTTAGTTAATTCTTAAGCTTTTTAATTTATGACTTTATTTTTAGGATGTCCTAAGTCAAATCGATCTCAAACTTCGTCTCTCATGTATTGCTATAGTATGACTTTATAAGAGCTTATATATATATCAATAGTCATTCTAAGTTACCCTAAGTTCGAAATCTTAAGTGTAAACTTGTTATATATACATAAAAAGCGTTCCATGCGTTTTCTCCCAACTATCTGCTATATATATTATTCCGTTTATAACCATGCATAGTAACCTTATTTTGTTTGGAATAATTGTTCAAAGGGACAACAATTGCTGAGGGTAGGACTTGCGAGTCTTGGAGTAACCACTTCACTGGTGGCTGGTTCTTGGGTTTACGCCGCAGATGCTTTTGCACAAAAAAATGGTGAATTAGCTAATTAATTAAGCTAGTGATGAGCTGATCACTTATCACTATCACTTAATTATTAGTGGTGCATAGATGCACGTAATTTGGTGCTAGTGTGGAACTAGTTGGAATAACTCACTGTTGGGTGATTAATTGACATCGTATCTCTGTTATGGTTTTTTATGTTCATGTTTGTTAAGTATCACCGTTGTGGGTTACTTTGTACAATACGTCATACTGCGTAACTTCTTATTTGTCAACAAATTTAAGTCTTTGTAATGCCCTACGAAATACAATTAATCATCATTTCCTCAGGGTTCGACTTTAGCATCCATTTTTATTAGGCTTAGCCACGTTACCTAAAGCAACGTAATCTTCGTCTACACCTAATGTGCAAATCCTGATCTATATAATTTAGATTAATTTGGTACAGACAAACTAAAACTTGTGTAAAAAACAATTATATTGTTATAAGAAATATGGACTTTTATGTGAGATACACACACACACACACACCACTTCATTTACATATAAAAATTTGAATAATAAGTCAAATGTGCTTATAACCCAACTATTCTTTTAAAAGCAAAAGTTAAATGTGCTTGAAAAAGAAACCCTAGTATGCATAGAAAAATGTATGGCGGAGAACTTAGTCATCAAAATTAGAAATTTTGTTTATGGTGCCTCTTAAGTTGGAAATTTCAACTTTGTATTTTGGGTATGGAGCTACCTTGCTTTACGGAGACCAATCCTTTTTAATATGGGCTAGACCCCTGTATAAAAAGCCTTCCATGGTTATTGTTCTTTGCATCAGCGGCTAAGATCTCTCTTATCACAATCAAGCACACACACAGAAACACACGGATCAAGCACATACTCACATACACTCAGATTCAAATGGAGCGTTCAATGCGTCTTGTTTCAGCCGTTTGCGTTCTTGTTCTACTTTTGGCCGCTACCGGTAATTATACCCCTTTATTATCATTAATTTTTTATGATGTTTCGAATAAAGCATCTTATTCAACAACAAAATTTTGATCATTAGAGATGGGGCCAATAAGTGTTGAGGCAATGACTGAGTCAAACAAGGCAGTTGAGGGAAAAATCTGCGAGGTTCCGAGCACCTTGTTCAAGGGGTTGTGCTTTTCCTCTAACAACTGTAAACACACCTGCAGAAAGGAGCAATTCACCAGAGGCAAATGTAGTGGCTTGACCCGTACATGCATGTGCACCAAAAAGTGTTAATTAATTAGTTAAAAAGAAATGTAATCTCTGTAGAGACCGTGCTTGTGTAATGTGATGGATTGATATGACCCTGTATCCACATGGTTGCTTTTGCTAATAAATTGAATGACCCTGCATAGATCATTATTCATATGTCTAGTGTAGTGTTTTCACTGCACCTTACGTACTTTTAATCGTCTATTATCCTATATGCTTTTCGTTAGGGTTATTATTAACATTCCAGTCACCATGAACTCTTCTTTCGTTTATTGACTTTTTTTTTTTTTTTTTTTTTTTTAACTATTAAACTGCATTCTGAATTCAAAGGTGGAAGCTAAGATCTCAGATTAAACACACTACAATGAGTCAACATGCATCTAACGAGTTCTTCAAAATAATATAAGCAAACAAAAGGAGAACCATCCCCAAAACTGTTTGAGATATCCATAGCTGCAAGACGCTCATAGAGTGGTAGAGGCCACCAACAGCAGCTTAACTCTCGGTTTGCTCCCTCAGCCTCCTAATGGTGCTCCTAACCGTCACAGCACTAGCAGTGTTCAAGGTGTAGGCACCGCCCGCCTTAACTTTTCCGCAGTCCTTACATCCCCAGATTCCAACAGCCTTTCTCTTCACAGCATACTTGCCACAGAATTCACAGAAATACTTGCTGTGCTGACTGACTTCCATTTTCTTAATCTGCTTACGCAGACTAGCACCGTAACGGGTTCCATATTTCCCAACGATACCGGCCTTCTTCGTCCTCTTAGTCATTGTTGTGGATTGGAAGGTCGCTGCTGTGAAGGGCCGAAGTGGCTGCTACTTTCTTCTTCTCGCGCAATGATAGATAGATAATTATTGATTATTGACTTTCAATTAAGAAAGAGTGATAGATAATTATCGTCAAATGCTAATAACAATTTATTTTTTTTCCGTTTTGACAAGGCATTTTATTGAAAATTTTCACTTAGTGTACTTGGATTCAACGCATTACTTTAATTTGTGTTACAAAGATTATTTAAGTCGCATTGTCGATTTCAGACGTACTTTTCTATCCACACCTTCTGTTGTATTATGTTCTTTTGACTTTTAAACCAGTAGTAATATATGTAAGACAAGGTGAGGTTGATGCACAAGAAAAAAAAAAGGAAAAGGTTCGAAATTGGTTAAGCAACTTTTAAGCAAAGACTTATTAATTGTTTATTTTTATTTTATTTTATTTTAGAAGAAATTGTCCTTAAGGATTGATATTTTCTTGATAACACTTTAAAAGACCCTTCCAAATTTTTTTTCTTAAAATACTTTCATATTTTTCTCTCACTTTTAAAATACTTTCGTATTTTTCTCACTTTTCTACATAGTATGTGTGGTATTGCCAACATATGAGCCACCTTAGGCCCAACGGGCTGATGCCCTAATTCAGTTATTTATGAAAAAATTGTACATATTGCATATTATAATTTCACGTGATAAAGTATTTTCGGAAATTTTTAAAGTATCAATTAAGAAATCATAAGAAAATTAATAGATGAATGAAAACATGGTTATTTTTATAGGAACAAATATTTGATGGTATTGGTAATTAAATTATTAAGCAACGCTCAAAACTTAGAAATGCGTTGTGAGATATTATAATATGATGTATGACATATTTTATGGATTAATATATGTGCATTGTTAGTTAATTCTTACTTTTTAATTATGACTTTATTTTTTAGGATGTCCCAATTCATATAGAACTCAGATTTCGTCCCTGGTGTATTGCTATGGTATGAATTTATAAGAGCTTATATATATAACGATATATATCAATGGTGTCATTCTAAGTTGCCCTAAGTTCGAAATCTTATATGTAAACTTGTTATATATACATAAAAAGCGTTCCATGCGTTTTCTCCCAACTATCTGCTTCTTCCTGCTGCTTTTGGTCGCCGGCGGTAGTATTTCTTCTTGCTCGATCTTGTTAACTTACTTCATCGTTAATATATATATATTATTCCGATTATAAGCATGCATAGTAACCTTATTTTGTTTGGAATAATTGTTTAAAGGGACGAAAGTTGTTGAGGGTAGGACCTGCGAATCTCAAAGTAACCGCTTCCCTGGAAATTGCATGAGTAAAAGTAACTTTGCAGTTGTTTGCCAAACTAAAGGCTTCACTGGTAGCTGGTTCTTGGGTTTACGTCGCAGATGCTTGTGCCTAAAAATAGTTAAATAGCTAATTAACTAAGCTAGTGATGCTGATCACTTATCACTTAATAAGTAATGGGGTGCATGGACGCATGTACTTTAGTGCTAGTGTGTAACTAGCTGGAATAATTCATTGTCGGGTTGTTAATTAATATCGTATCTCTGTTATGGTTTTTAATGTTCTTATTAGTTAAGTATCGCCGTCGTGAGTTACTTTGTATAGTATGTCGTACTGCGTAACTACTTATTTGTCAACAAATTTAAGTCTTTGTAATGCCCTACGAAATACAATTAATCATCATTTCCTAGAGGTTCTACTTTAATATTCATTTTTATTAGGGAACTTTAACGAAAATCTCCCGGTACTGTTTACTTTAACGAAAAATAAACTACATTTTTACACTAAAAAGTCAATTATGTACTATTCACCTTACCCTTTATTTTGTCATTATCATTAAAACTCAAAGTTTTCAAGCCATTTTTATAGTTTTCCTTTTTTATTAGGCTTAGCCATGTTACCTAAAACAACGTAATCTTCGTCTACACCTAATGTGCAAATCCTGATCTATATAATTTAGATTAATTTGGTACAGACAGACCAAAACTTGTGTAAAAAACATACAAATATGGTCTTTTATGTGAGATATATATATATATATATATATGTATGTATGTATGTATGTATGTATGTATGTATGCCGCTTCATTTACATATAAAAATGTGAATAATAAGTCAAATGTGCTTAACCCAAATATTCTTTTAAAAGCAAAAGTTAAATGTGCTTGAAGAAGAAACCTTAATATGTATAGAAAAATGTATGGCGGAGAACTTAGTCATCAAAAATAGAAATTTTGTTTATGGTGCCTCTTAAGTTGGAAATTTCAACTTTGTATTTTGGGTGTGGAGCTACCTCGCTTTATGGAGACAGATCCTCTTTAATATGCGCTAGACCCCTATATAAAAAGCCTTCCATGGTTATTTTTTTTTCTATCAGCGTCTAAGATCTCTCTTATCACACACAAGCACACACACAGAAACACGCGGATCAAGCACATACTTACATACACGCAGATTCAAATGGAGCGTTCAATGCGTCTTGTTTCAGCCGCCTTCGTTGTTGTTATGCTTTTGGCCACAACCGGTAATTATACCTCTTTTTAATAATTAAATTTTTATGATGTTTTGAATAAAGCATCTTATTCAACAAAAAATATTTGATCATTAGAGATGGGGCCAATGAGTGTTGAGGCAAGGACTGAGTCAAGCAAGGCAGTTGAGGGAAAGATTTGTGAGGTTCCGAGCACCTTGTTCAAGGGGTTGTGCTTTTCCTCTAACAACTGTAAACACACCTGCAGAAAGGAGCAATTCACCAGAGGCAAATGTAGTGGCTTGACCCGTACATGCATGTGCACCAAAAAGTGTTAATTAATTAGTTAAAAAGAAATGTAATCTCTGTAGAGACCGTGCTTGTGTAATGCTATGAATTGATTTGACCCTGTATCCACATGGTTGCTTTTGCTAATAAATTGAATGACCCTGCATGGATCATTATTCATATGTCTAGTGTAGTGTTTTCACCGCGCCTTATGTACTTTTAATCGCCTACTATCGCCTATTATCTTGTATGTTTTTCTTTAGGGTTATTATTAACATTCTAGATAGTCACCACATACTCTTCTTTCGTTTATTGACTTTCAATAAAGAAAGAGTGATGGATAATTATAGTCAAATGCTAATAACAATTTTTTTTTTCCGTTTTGACAAGGCATTTTGTTTAAAATTTTCACTTAGTGTACTTATATTCAACACATTACTTTAATTTGTGTCACAAAGATTATTTAAGTCGCATGAATTGTCGATTTCAGATGTACTTTTCTATCCACACGTTCTGTTGTATTATATTCTTTTGACTTTTAAACCAGTAGTAATATATGTAAAACAAGGTGAGGTTGATGCACGAGAAAACAAAAATTAGGAAAAGGTTCGAAATTGCTTAAGCAACTTTTTAGCAAAGACTTAATTGTTTATTTTTATTTTATTTTATTTTAGAGGAAATTGTCCTTAAGGATTGATATTTTCTTGGTAACATTTTAAAAGACTCTTCCATATTTTTTTTCCTAAAGCACTTTAATATTTTTCCCTCACTTTTCTGCATAGTATGTGTGGTATTGCCAGGAACGGAGCCACCTTGGGCCCAAGGGGCTGATGCAATAATTGTATATATTGCATATTATAATTTCACATAATAGAACATTTTCGGTTATGAAATTTCTAAATGATCAATTGAGAGATTGTAAAAACATTGGTGGATGAATGATAACATTGTAATTTTTATAGGAACAAATATTTGATGGTATTGGTAATAAAATTGTTATGCAATGCTTTCAAAACTTAAAAATGCGTTGTGTGATATTGTAATTCTTAAGCTTTTTAATGTATGACTATTTTTTAGGATGTCCCAATTCATATAGATCTCAGACTTCATCCCTGATATATTGCTATTGTTTGAATTTATAAGAGCTTATATATATATATATATATATATCAATGGTGTCATTCTAAGTTACCCTAAGTTCGAAATCTTAAGTGTAAACTAGTTATATACACATAAAGAGCGTTCCATGCGTTTTCTCCCAACTATCTGCTTCTACCTGCTACTTTTGGTTGCAAGCGGTAGTATTTCTTCTTGCTCGATCTTGTTAACTATCTTCATCGTTAATATATATATATATATATATATATATATATATATATTACGATTATAAGCATGCATAGTAACCTTATTTTGTTTGAAATAATTGTTTAAATGGACGACAGTTGGTGAGGGTAGGACCTGCGAGTTTCAGAGTAACCGCGTCAATGGAACTTGCGTGAGTAAAAGTAATTGTGTAGTTGTTTGTCAAACTAAGGGCTTCCCTAGTGGCTGGTTCTTGGGTTTATGCCGCAGATGCTTTTGCACAAAAAAATAGTTAATTGGCTAATTAATTAAGCTAGTGATGGGCTGATCACTTATCACTTAATTATTAGTGGGTGCATGGACGCATGTACTTTGGTGCTAGTGTGGAACTAGCTGGAATAATTCACTGTTGGGTTATTAATTAATATCGTATCTCTGTTATGGTTTTTCGTGTCTGTTCATCGTACATTGTGCGGTCAGAAATTATTTTAAATATTTTTATTTAACAATAAACATAAATAGTACTTAATAAAAACTGACTGCACGATGTACGATAAACGGACAATATTTTTGTTTATTAAGTATCACCGTCATGAGTTACTTCGTACAGTATGTCGTACTGTGTAACTTCTTATTTATCAACAAATTTAATTCCTTGTAATGCCCTACAAAATACAATTAACCATCATTTCCTCAAGGTTCTACTTTAACATATTAAGGAAAACTAATGAAAAGGGCTTGAAAACTTTGAGTTTTAATGATAAGGACAAAATAAAGGGTAAAGTGAATAGTACCATGATTGACTTTTTAGTGTAAAAATGTAGTTTTTCGTTAAAGTGAACAGTACCGGGTGTTTTTCGTTAAAGTTCCCTTTTTATTAGGCTTAACCACGTTACCGAAAGCAACATAATCTTCGTCTACACCTAATGTGCAAATCATGATAAGAACTATGGTGTTTTATGTGAGATATATATATGCCGCTTCATTTACA